ATTCTGTTTGGGAATACCTTTGAAAGGGTTATCACAGAGGATAGTTTGCCTATTTGGTCAAACTGCTCCCAGTGACATTATGTAATTCTAAGCTGGGTTGACTCTAGGTCTGACCCACTGTCCAAGATCTTATGAAGAGGAAGACTTATGGCTGAAAGACTGAATAGGAGCTTCAGTCCATGTACTACCTCTCTACTGCTGCTGCCCTGTACTCTTGTCCTCCTCTTAGAGAAAAAAACTGGCTTTTCCCTGACCCTGTGCCTCTCCTTTAACCATAGCAGCGGCAGCCAGAGTTAGGGGTGAATGCTGTAATGAAACTGCTCGATGCTGTGGACACTCATATTCCTGTGCCCACTCGGGATCTAGAGAAGCCCTTCCTGCTGCCTGTGGAGTCTGTTTATTCCATCCCTGGTGAGGTTACTGCCTTACATTTTTCCCAGCCCTTTCCTACCTCCCTTGGCACGTGTTTTCTTCCTGGTTTAGAGTCATACCTCCTTGGCATTTTTAATTTCCCCCAACTCCAATGATGCCCTTCCCACATTTTAAATCATCCTCTTCTAGGCCGTGGCACAGTGGTCACAGGGACTCTGGAGAGAGGAATCGTGAAGAAAGGAGATGAATGTGAATTTCTGGGCCACAGCAAGAATATTCGCTCTGTGGTCACAGGTAAAGTTCATGGTCCACTATTAAACCCTTCTTCCTATTTCCTCTGTTCTTGCTTACATTAGACTGAGGCCTTGTCCCCTTTCCTGTTCCCACCTTGAAGTTGCTTTCCTGTTGCAGGAATTGAAATGTTTCACCAGAGTCTGGAACGAGCTGAGGCTGGAGATAACCTTGGTGCATTAATTCGGGGGCTGAAGAGGGAGGATGTTCGACGCGGTATGGTGATGGTTAAACCAGGCTCCATTCAACCCCATCAGAAGGTTGAGGCTCAGGTAAGCTATAGTTGGAGGAGAGAAAGAAGTGTCCCAGGACTGTATCCTTCCTTAGCCCTGATACAGTTCTTTTTTTAGGAAGACACAAGTGACAGCAGGCAAAGCCTTCTAATTGTTTGCGTCATTTCCCAGGTTTATATTCTCAGCAAAGAAGAAGGTGGCCGCCACAAGCCATTTGTATCACACTTCATGCCTGTCATGTTCTCTCTCACGTGGGACATGGCCTGCCGAGTCCTTCTGCCCCCAGAGAAGGTGAGTTTGTAGTTTAGGAGATTGTGAGCTTCATTTCTGTCTTCTGTACCTAGCACTTAGCACAGCCTGGCATATGACTGGCCCGTGTTAAATGCTTTATACCATCTCTTGTTCAAAAAGACAGTAGCCTAGGGGGATTGTTAATGCTTATATGTGGATGGAGGTGATTTTTTTCTCTTCTTTCCTACCTTCCTCTTTTCCCCTGCCATCCACACCTTGGTTAATTGAGGGCAGTGATTTGTTATTTAATCCCCATTTTTCTTCCAGGAGATGGCCATGCCTGGGGAGGACCTGAAACTAAACTTAATCTTAAGACAACCCATGATCTTGGAGAAAGGTCAGCGTTTTACCCTGAGGGATGGTGGTAAAACCATTGGTACTGGCTTGGTCACCAATATATCAGCTCTGACTGAAGAGGACAAGGACATTAAGTGGAGCTGAGCTCAACTCTGGCCTTCTTTCCAACATTGGTACCTCACTGGCCTGAGTCAAGAAGCTCAAGTTTAGGAAGTGAAAAAATAGTCCTCGGCTTTTCCTACCATCTGCAGCAATGGTGTCTCCTGGAACTGAGGGGCCTGTAAGTTTGTATGGGAAAATAAAGTGTTGTGTGAATGGTGGAACACAACATGTGTAGTAACTTACTGTTGTACAGATTAAAAGATTGGGTACTGGTATTGTACTTCAGATGGATGATTCCTGTTGAAGGTGTTTTCTTTCTGGGATTTTACAGTGACCTCTAGTGTTGATGTCAGGGGCATATTATTATGTTTAACCGAGAGAGTATTGTGTAGCTGGACCTTGAATCCCTTAAGTCCTTGGTTTTGGTCCCAGTTAGCTCATTTCTTTATTTGCAAAATGGGAATAATGATATTTGTGCTATCTACCTCACAAGAGTTATTGTGAGGAAAGTGTTTTATAAACAAACATACTGTAGACATCTTAATGCTGTTAACATCATTAGGATGGGAGCTCAGTGGGCAAGAAAGAATTAAGTTTTGTGATCTTGTAATGACATGGGCATCTCAACAGGACCAAGAAATGTTACCACCAAGCTACGCTGCTACAAAATTATTAGAGGAAAAACCAAAGCTAACACTAGTAGTGAAATGTGTGTCCCTACCACCTCTGAAAGGAGCAGTGCTAGTCCCCCTCACTAAGACGGTGCATCTCTGAGCATAAGAATTACTAACTAACTCTTAAATTTGTGACATTACATTTCTTAGTCTTTTATAATTTTGAAAATTCCTTAGAAGCGTGTTGTGGTATATAAGAGAATCAGTGTTATTGCTAGTAAGGGACTTAACCTTAATACACAGAATGTGAGATTTGAGAAGAGCCATCAATTCCTTCATATACATGGAGAAACAGACCCATTAAGTAGAAATGGCTGGCCTTTATTTGTGGAATGTGAGTTTAAAATTTTGTTGGACATTTCATACTGGGGGTGGCAGGAGGCACAGTGAACCTGATGGTTTTTTTTAGTCTGGAGAACTTCTGGGATGTGGAAACTCCCTCTAACAAAGCTCAGCACCCTCTTTGCAATGTATAGCTTTACAGAGTTGCCTAGAGGTGCTGAGAGGCCCCTGGACCAATTCCAAGGCTGGCTTTCATTCCATTAAGCCACACTAATTAATGTGCTTTAAGGTTTGCAAAGCACTGTATATAAATTATTGAATTTGATTCTCACACAGTTCAATAAACATGAAGGGTCTACTTAGGCATTGTGTGCTAAGCCCTGGGCATACAAATAAAAAAGACAGTCCCTGCCCTCAAGGAGCTTACAGTGTAATGGGTGAAGAGGCAGCTTTGGGTCTTGAGGAGGTGTTGAGTATCAAAAACTGAGTCACTCAATCAGCATGGTGGTGAGACTTCAGGTGATTAGCTTATCCTGATTGAGGCATGATGTTCCCTTGGAGTCAAAACCAAGCAGGGCTGCTGATAGAAAACGGAGAGTTACTACTGCAATCCTAAGGTGGGTACAACATATATTAACCCCTTTTACAGCGGGAGGAAACAAACTCACGGTCCTATAAGGGTAGTAGAAAAACATGACTTATCCTAGAATTTTCAAACTCCCAAGGGCACTTCGGTCTTCCCCCATCCTGGGCTGTCTCTTCTCTTTGATTACTTGAAATAAAGACTGCCAGTCAGGGCAGAGAATTCTGCCTCCAAAAATTCATTAGCTAAGTCAGCTGTCATAGGAATGTACTTTCTTCCAGGTTCACAAATGTGAGATTTTGAAAGATAGTGGATGGTATCAGATTACTAGGGAGACTTTCTCTCATAAATGGATGAGCTTAAGGAATTTTTTAAAGTGAACTGGTTTCTAAAGCAAAAGGATAATAGGATCATAAATTTATAGCTGGGAGGCTGTCTAGACCAACTCCTTCCTTACACAGATAAAGAAACTGGTACAGAGAAGTAAATTATCGTACAGGTTAGAAGAGAGATTCAAACCCATGTTTTCCTAACATAAAGCACAGCTCTACACTATCAGAAAGTGCTAAAAGGGGGGAGGGGGAAGAGGAAAGAAAATACTTGGGTTCCTTAGAGTAGGTGAAGGTAGAAGCTGGAAAAGCCAGCCCCAAGCTAAATCCTTTGGTTGTTTCTCATTACTCCAACCTCCCCCTACTTTGAGATCCTAGTGAACTTCCCCCAAGGATAGAGGTAGGGTTTTTATGATGGATTGGGAAGTATAGTTTTGGGACCTTCCCTAGAATCCCAGAGGCAGGAAAACATTTTTTTTTCCCCAGGCCAGCTAAATATGTTAAAAATCCCAATTACAGGGGCAGCTGGGTGGCACAGTGGATAGAGCACTGGCCCTAAAGTCAGGAGGACCTGAGTTCAAATCCAGCCTCAGACCAAACACTTGACACGTACTAGCTGTGTGACCTTGGGCAAGTCACTTAACCCCAATTGCCTTACCCCCCCCCAAAAAAAATCCCAATTAGAATGATAATGGAAGGATGGATTTACCCCTCCCTTTTTCCCCTCAGGGCAAAATGAGGTAAATCTAACAGCTCCTCTCTATTGTATGTAGTGGCCATTAGGGGATGGGGGGGGGTGGGCAAGGCACTCCTATTTCATATAGATCTGATATTGCAGTAGAGGGCAAAATAGCCCCACATACTATGCAACATGTATCCTGTCTGTATGCTTTGGCTATTTCCTTGGGCGGGTGAGAAAGGTCTTCCCAAACATTAGTTGTCTAATAATGGATTCCTGTTTTCTCAGTCTTTTATTCATTCATTAAACATTGAGTACCTAACAAGTGAAAGTCCCTGGGATAAGTGCTCAATCAGGTACAAATATGGACAAGCAGTTCCTCAAAAAAAAAAAAAAATGGGGGAGG